ACTTGTGCCAAATACACTTGGTAGCGGAGGAAAAACTTTGCAATAACGGAGTCAAGCTCTCCATTCAAAGAGAACGCACTCAAAGTAAAGGGATACGTGTAAAAATATGTAAAACCCTCCTTGGGTAGGGTCACTCGCTCCGATAGATCAGGAGCAACAATATTAAAATCATGGCAGCAGCAGTCTTTCTTCACGGCAGGAATGCTAGAAGGACGGATAGAAGAAGGATACCTACTAAACAGTCCATGCATGAGGGTTAGCAGTAGGAAATTTCTCTTCAAAGTCTTTTGTGGTAACAAGACTTCTAGGGATGATGGATCCCACTTTTGGAGGATCTGAGTCCTCGGCGTTGTTCTTGTTCTTTGAAGAACTAGTACGCTTTGAGGAAGAAGCCATTGTACGGAAGAAGAAAAGGGTTTTTCCTTGAAGAGAATTAGGGAAGAGATGAAGAGCATGATGCAAGTCGAGTAAGCTTGGTAAATTATGGAGTATAAGGGGGAAAGTTGATGCGTATAAGCAAAAGTTTTGGCGGGTAAAGCTATGCTGAATCGTGGGATGACGCGTGCTTGGCGCATTAAATGCGGAGAGACGTGCGTCTAATCAACCGTCAGAAGCCTTCAAAGGAAGTTATAGTAATTCCCGCCAAAAGAATGATTCTACCAACTTCCCGGTTACACAAAGTTATGTCACCGAAAAGTTGGGGGACTATCTATAAATGGTAAAATATGCGCTATGCTACGTGGCCGACCAAAAAAAGGACATGTGGAACCTAAGACGGGAGGGGGGGATGTCCATGACCGAAGGCAGCTGGTCCGTCTGTCATCGGGAAGAATAACGCTCGTAAGGATGTAATAAATACTCCCCATCCGGTAGCATTTAATAAAGAATATTCTATGGCATTAAGTACGATTTCACGTTGCAAGGAATTTGGCATTTATGCTTACCGTTACATCTTCATCAATGGCCCTCATAATTGACGTTAAAGAGGATCACGATCCTAGGATCTCCTTCCCTAGACGTAGCTATAATAGTGAGCTCAGCTATATTGTAAAGGATAGGAATTTTTCGGAAAACTTATACTATATTCTATGCAAAGCTCAAACTACAATTTTGTCTTCTTGCTTTTTGATTTTATTATTTGTTGTGCCCGGAACCACTATGTTTCTTCTATTTCGTATCCATCTCAAAGTTGAGTATTGCATATTTCTTCAATTATCTTATTATTTTAGGATCAAATTAATTCACTTGTCGAGAAACCACGTATAAATTCAAATGTACCATTTTACAGGTAAGCAACTTCATGCCACATATCCTTTCTAAACGTTATATGTGTCATGTTCATTTTTTACCAAAGCAAGCTTTAGATGTTCACCATTTTTCTTTTCATGCTCGACACATATGAAAGAAGCATCTTGCATCTTTCTTAATATCGTTGTTCTTTCAATTTAATTTCATAACACCATAGACATAATTCGTGTATGATACGTTACTGTAAACATATAAAATTTATTGGGTTTAATCCATACAAAATTTGGATTAAATTCAATTGGGTTAAATAATTAATTTGGGCTTTACAAGTTAAATTAGTCCATTTTATTATTTTCAAGCCCAAGGTCCATTTCATCTTAGGCCCAGACTTATGCCATGTGACATGGCATATCCAGTCAAACTCCAGGCCAATAAGGTGACGCCACATGTTAAATAATGTGGCAATCCAAGTCAAAAAGCAAGAACCAACCACAAGTCGCCAAGTGGCTAAATGACATGGGCCAATCAAAATCAAGCAAGAGAGTCTTATGTAGCTTGACTGTCCACCCTCTACAACTATAAATAGAGGGGGTTACATAACTCTCAAGGGACATACAGAGTTGGAGAAGAACACTTCGCGATTGGTGAAGGCATCCACAAACATACAGATCAATCATCAAGTGCTTAGTTCTTCAACAAAGGAGTGATCAACAGAGTTCTTCCCGGAGATCAACCCGTACAACAAAGTGCCGCTCGACGTTCTTGGCGATTAAATACATTACAAGGAGGTCTGCATCATCCTACATTCGAGAAAGACGCTTCTCAAGCCCTCGAATCACGGAAAATTTTAGAGAGGAGAATCAAGGGATACATAGAATTGTACTCACAAATACTTATCAATAAAATCACTTTTTCTTCATATTATTATTTTTGTTGCAGTTTATTTTTCGTCTTACGAAAATTTGTTGCAAACAAATTTTGGCACGCCTAGTGGGACTAATTCTTCCCTTCATCTCTCCTTCTTGCAAGTTGAAAACTACAAACTTCAGATCTACTGCTACAATGGCCTTCTACAAATGTGATGTTTCATGCAAAGATGCTACTGTTGCCGCATCCACTCAGCTCAGTCATGTTGGCCCAATCACTCGAAGCAAGTTCAAGGCTAGTGGCTTGGATGGGTCCGAATACTTCGCCTCCTTGGAGATGGCAAAGAAAAGCAGATCTCATATGACGTTCGCAACCGCAATCTCTGGGGGCAACACCCCATTCTCGATGTTTGACGAACTTTCTCCAACGGCCTCAAACCTTGGCGGATTTGAGGATTTGGTGGATTCTTCAGTTTCAACTAAAGTCAATGCCTTGATGACTGACGCAACTAACGTGGACGAAAAGTTTGCCATGATGGAACAAACTATAGAGGTCTTGAAGAAATCTGTTGAAGACAAAGACCTTCAAATCGCTCAACTCATGAACAAATTGGAGGCCTATGCACCTGGAGAGTCGAGCCATGTCCCTCCTCGTTCACCTGTCTTCACCTCCCAGAAAACAGCTGTTGAGGAATCATTTGCAAAGTTAAACATCCAAAAGGAAAAGCAATCTACTTCAGTTGCGGCGTTGTCTGTCCAACAATTGCAAGACATGATAACAAACACCATCAGAGCTCAATATGGCGGACCATCGCAAAGTTCGTTGTACTGCTCTAAGCCTTATACTAAGAGGATTGATTTTTAAACATGGCAACCATTATCAACCANAAAAGGAAAAAAGAAGTATGCTGCCCGAGCAATCCTCTCGATTCCGGCACTTAATTGATCAAAGATTTGTTGCGTCTAGATCAAAAGGGCTGGAGCTTCGACGTGTATAGATGTTGTATCTCACTGAGTCTTCTTGCCAACGGTGTAAACAGCTCGTAGTTCAGATGCTCCTGCACCAAGATGCGGATTCTTTACACAAACACGCAAGGCTGGAAACTACTGGGAAAAAAAAAAAGAAATTAAGCCAAAGTTGTGAAAAGAAAAGAAGAAAGAAAAAACGTAAATCAGCCATGAGCATCAGTTTACATATTAGCCGAAACGATGGCAGTGGCGTCGACAAAGGAGTAAAAAAAAAACCCTCAATGCAAGTCTTCTCCTTTTGAATTTAGAAGACCGTTGATGCAAAGTAAACGCAAGATCCACTGCTGAATTTATAGAGAAAAAATTGCTGAACTTTTCCTTATTTGGTTGCTCATAGAATTGGGTTGCTTGTTAAAAAAGGAGCTAATTCAAAAGGAAGAAAAAGAAAAGAGTAATGTCTCATACTCCCTCTTCCAAAAAAGCAAAGGATTCCTTAAATAAAAGGAAATTTCCTAGTTGACTTGAAATTTTTGGAAAAAATAAAATATGAAGTTCATTAAAGGTTACTTATTGACTTTCTTAAATTGGGATCAATACCATATTGTGAGAGTACAAAAGTCAAGTTGATTACATACAAATCTCCAAGTCACGTGACAATTGATTTTCTCTCACGGAAAAAATAGTTACTTTCTTCCCAGGATACTTCAAGCCTCGTCTTCGACTTTCGACAAGCCTATACTTGACGAATCTTGAAGTAGGGGGCATTTGTAAACATATAAAATTTATTGGGTTTAATCCATACAAAATTTGGATTAAATTCAATTGGGTTAAATAATTAATTTGGGCTTTACAAGTTAAATTAGTCCATTTTATTATTTTCAAGCCCAAGGTCCATTTCATCTTAGGCCCAGACTTATGCCATGTGACATGGCATATCCAGCCAAACTCCAGGCCAATAAGGTGACACCACATGTTAAATAATGTGGCAATCCAAGTCAAAAAGCAAGAACCAACCACAAGTCGCCAAGTGGCTAAAATGACATGGGCCAATCAAAATCAAGCAAGAGAGTCTTATGTAGCTTGATTGTCCACCCTTTACAACTATAAATAGAGGGGGTTACATAACTCTCAAGGGACATTCAGAGTTGGAGAAGAACACTCCGCAATTGGTGAAGGCATCCACAAACATAGAGATCAATCATCAAGTGCTTAGTTCTTCAACAAAGGAGTGATCAACAGAGTTCTTCCCGGAGATCAACCCGTAACAACAAAGTGCCGCTCGACGTTCTTGGCGATTAAATACATCACAAGGAGGTCTGCATCATCCTACATTCGAGAAAGACGCTTCTCAAGCCCTCGAATCACGGAGAATTTTAGAGAGGAGAATCAAGGGATACATAGAATTGTACTCACAAATATTTATCAATAAAATCACTTTTTCTTCATATTATTATTTTTGTTGCAGTTTATTTTTCGTCTTACGAAAATTTGTTGCAAACAGTTACATTATGAATTCAATACTTGAATCTAGTGTAGCCGTGTTTGTTTCATATCCTTTAAAATATGAAAGAGGTGATTTTTTTTTTGGGTTCATTCTTTACATCTTTAATTTCAATTCTATGGGCACCAAGTTGGTTTTTTTGTAATTATTGCTCTCCTAAATTAAGCAAATTGCATACGGGGATCCTTTAGGTGGCGGAAAGTAATCAGTCAGACGTTAATTGCTTTGATTTACATCGCTCTTCTACGATATCTCATGAAGGCACCATATAACAGTTGAATAAACTCTCAATAGATTAGAGGCAGGAATATAAAATTTGAGGACTTTTGCAATTACAAATGTTTTGTCCTGTTATTTTTCTATATTAAAAGAAGTAATTTATGATATATACACTATAGAGAGTAATCCTGATTAAGAAAGGGAAGAACAAATAAGAGACATTACTTATCATGATCAAGCTTTTGAAACTAGTGAAATGCCAGTATTCTCAGAATTAATACAAGAGATCTCTTCAACTATTTTCTCAAGTGCAATATCATCTTTTAGTATATCTGTATGAGAAACCCCTTGTAACTTAGTCATTTTAAGGGGTTGGTGACTATTGTTAGCCCAATTTGATTCAATAGCCAACAAGCTTAACATATTCACCGTGCCATCTCCATCCCCATACACAATCTCAGGCCGCTTATCGAACTCGCCATCTCCATAGAACAACGTCTCCGGAGTCTTAACCCCACTGCCAATTATGCATGTGACGGGCACTTGAGGCGCAGTTAAGTTGTCGAGCAGGGGCAGAATACGCGATGTGTAAGGCAAAACTCCCTGAGAGAAGCCGATATCCTTGAAGAATTTCGGGATATCATGAGCTGAGTATGCAGCATTCGGAGTAATGACAAGTGGTCTTGTAGTCCCAAATACTTTTGGAGAAGGCAAAAGCCACATGTTACTTTCAGAACTCCTTTGTTCTTCCCTTACTAGCAATGGATTGACTAAAGGCACTCCAAGTGTATTCCCTGAAGCAAAAGTGACCATCTGCTCAACTGTGCCTCCCCAGGGTGCGGACAATGCTATGAAATGTTTGATGTATTTTTGGCACCAGGATTCCGGATTTCGGTTGAGTAGTTGGAGGATAAATAACCCTCCTAAGCTGTGTGAAAGAAGAATTACAGGTCTTCCTGCATTTGAATTGCTTGCAGTTTCTATTAGTTCTTTTAGATCCATGAGGAATTTGGTACCAACATGACTAGGATGACCTTCAGCAGCTAAACCATAACGAAAATCATACGGTGCTCCAAAGAGATTTGTGCCATCTCTATAGCCTAATTGTTGCAAAGCGTTCACGAGGGGCGCCATATATTCTGTAATTTTCCTGCAAATTTCAAGTCGTTCATGAAAACTACACAAAGGTAAAATTGGTTTATAACATATGGTCTATTGATAGCATGAGAGGTGGAACCGAAGTTAAGAAAAAGACAAATTAGGCAACAACCTATACCGGACACAACGAATGTAATCGACATCGGAAAATCCCAAAGGTAGCATAGTTAACAGGAGGAGATCAAAGGTTTGCCATCGCAAATCATTCAATGAGGGGATTATACTCAAATATTAAATGGACGGCTGTTGCAGTGAATATTTGCATTCATGGTCTGCCGTTACATATTCATCAATGACTCTTTTATTATCATATAAGAAGAGCTTGATCCTAGGATCTTGTTTCCCTAGGTAAAGCTATAAATAGCAGGCTCAACACCCATCATAAGGACATGAAATTTTCAGCGTACAGAAGCTTTATTTTATTTCTTTTGCTCTCAATTAAGCAGCTTTACTTGCACTTTGTCGTTACTTTCACTTTTATCCTCGGAGGCATTGCGTTCGGAGCCAGGCTTGTCATTTTCTTCAATTTCAATTGCTAATCTTAACATTTATTTTATCTCATTATCATTTTATGGATCCAACCAGTTTGCTTGTCTATAAACCGCATAATAAATTTAACTATACCGTTTTACGGGTAAACAAAGGTTATACCGATAACTTAATCACAATTATAGCTTACATGCATTATCAAATAGAAATTGGTCAGCCATTAAATTAACCATTTTCAACTGTCATACTCATGATTAACCTTTATTATGAACAAAAACTCAGAAGTATAATGAATGCTTATAATTCTAAATAAGGACAATAAGTGGGAACTTACTTGAGATTAGGATCAAGATAAAGAAGTGACGTAGTAGAACCAAAGTGTGTAACTCTAGTCTGCACACCAGGGGCATTATAATAATCATCTAAGTCAGTGTCATAGTAAAGCTTCATCCTCTGATTAAAACACTTGGTAAAGGGTGCCAAAAGTACACTTGGATCAAACCATATCCTAAACCAACCTTCAAAATCTTTCTTTAATGGATACCATCTGTTGCACACCAAGCTTGTAGGCTTGTACTCTTTGGTCAATCTTGCTTCAAACTGGTTCCCACCAGCTCCTGGTACTAAGATCAGAGGGTGGAGGTTTGCAGTTGATTGACAAGTGTACAACATCATAGCCGTTGAAACTATGATCATGGATATGTCTAGGACTTTCATGACTAACAAAGTTGAGAAGGAACAGAGAGGAAGTTGTATGTGCCCATTATGATTGGATTATGATATGGAGATCACTTGTTCATTGTCTTTGTGGTGGATAATGTGTTGACGTGTTTAGTTGCATAATGGGCTTTTTGGGACTTCACTTTGGGCCTCCATCAGTGCTGATTACGTTGGGCGTCCCTGTTTACAAACATTAACAATTTTAGACTCCCGCCATAAACTCCTCCTCCTCCTTCTTCTTCCTTTTTTTTTTTGGTTTCCCACCTGATGTCCGGTATCGGTATTGGAGCCCGACTATATCCGGATTCGCTCCGCGTACGGAGCTCCTTTCGGGGGAAGCGCTCCCCACCAAGGATTTTCCATACCCAGGGCTCGAACTCGAGACTTCTGGTTAAGGGAAGAGCAGTCTCATCCACTGCACCACATCCTTTGGTGGACTTCTTCTTCCTTTCAATATATCCAACTCATTGCTTATTTGTGGTTGGATTGATTTCAACGAAGAAAATTGTAGACACCATTGTTGGGTTGAGCTTGACAAAGTCGGTATATTAATTTTTGAAATTTGCATCGACTCTAACCATTGAAAATTGTTAGGTTGAGCTTAACATAGTGAGTAGATCAAATTTGGGGTCAATTAACTTAATTTTGAAGCAAAAATATTTTAGTTAATTTCTACACGGCAAGTTATTTTACCACAAATCCTTACGGATCGCCAGGATTTCAACCACAAATCCTAAAAGAATCCTAGCGGTCCTTCAGGATTTGGCCAGAAATTAGATGGATCACCATTACTTGTGACTGACACGATTTTGACACATATTTTTGCAAAACTATGTGGTCAAAACTTAAACGGTGAAACTAAAAGATCCTATTTGTACAAATCATAGCAGGTCCTTGTAAATAGCAATTATGCGTGTTTCATTTGTTAGATGGTCTGGATCCGTCTATACATTGAACGAAAAAGTCTAATAAACCAATATACAAGATAGAAAAACCGATCTATGGATGATTCTAAAAAAAATGAAAGTTTGATATATCTTCTCTATTTCTCAAAATTATTATATTTTATTATTGATTTTTCGTCAAGTGTGGACTTGACGAGTTAAAAATTCAAGGTACAAGCATCAAGAAACCTTATCTAAACTTGATATCTGCAACAAGTAAAATGAATACATAACATATGTATTTAAATAAATCTTCATCATCTAATTCAATAATATCCTTATTCCAATAACATGTCCCTTCTACCTATAATACTTTTGATTAATCCACCAGACCGAACAACCGTTACCTCAGTATTGCGCTGTGTCCATTTTAATTGCTTTCGGGCTTGGGTGTACCCTTTAGTTTTATGTTTATTTCTGCATTATTTTTGTTCACATATTTTAATACTTCATAAAGCCGAGGTATCCTCTAATAGGAAAAAAGAATTGTATATATTCACCCTTAAAAATGAGTAACAATTAAATTTGTTCGCGGTTTAAAGGATACGTAATTTAATTTAACACGAATGATCTAAGGACAACAAATAATTAAATTAAAGAGAGATAGTGTTAGAAGATAATTCTTATATAGTAAAAATAAAATATAACATATTCATTATCAATTACTCCCCATGATTAATAGTCATTATTATAATATTATAACTAACTTTTTATTAGCCTTAATGGCTTTAATTTGTAACAACCATTTCAATAGTCTTTGAATGGCATTTAATAATTTTTAAAACATTGCTTACAATAAGTTAAAATCTTTGAATTATATATATATATTTTTTCCTATATGTTACTTTGAGTAGTAGAGTGAACAAAGTTAAAAAATTTCATCCCTTTTCTTTTGTGCTGGATTTTCTTTTATTCAATCTTTGTTGTTTCTGCTCCTAGTTTATACTAGAAGAACTTGTTGAATCCTAGGGGATACGCCTAATTTTATTCATTACGGTGTAGGCGAAATATCCTTAAGGACAATGTCTTTGACACGCCTCAAGCTAAACCATCTATTCTCCATAATCATCCAATATTTTTCCAACAATCTTAAGGATATTTACACTATTTTATTATGGAGAATCAAGTTTGACATTGTCCAAGTTATTTTTAAAAAGGGGACATGTACTTCAAGTTTGCACAATGGTCTTATGGAGTTCAAATTAATTTTGTGAGCTACGAAGTATTACTCCAAGTCAATGAGCATTCTAAGGGATGCTAAAGATGGTACTATACTTTAAAAGACAGTGACTTCTTCTACGCTTGATATGTTTGTGTATGACATAATATTTACGTATACCAGGTACGCATAATTGGTTTAATATCTCCTTAGTTTTTTATCCTTTTCTGCTTATTCTCATGAGAATATAATAGGCAGAACTTTGGCATCAAGTTGATATATATAAGATGNACTCTTAAGTCTGTGAGTTTTTTTTTTGAAATTGATGGAAAAGCTCTATGTTGTACTATTGTTTCCATTTAGCTTTTAAAACATTAAAGTTTTTTATAGTTAAGTTGATCTAGTGAAAATATTAAGTTGTCTTATAATAGACTAAATATAAAGAAGAAAAATCATCTACCTTGCTTATGTTTCTAATCTTTAAGTGGCACATCAACTGGATATATTCTACTTCTTTAAGTACATTTGTCCATCCTTTAATTAAAATACTACTCTCTTTAAAATATTTGATGATTATATAGTATGGGTAGTTGTTCATAATCTTATGAAATCATAGTATTTTTGTCTTACATTTATTCAAATATGACATAACTAGTTTTATTTGAGTCATGAGAATATCAATTTAGTCATATAAATAAAGTCTTTTAAAATGATTTATAAGTGACACATTAGCTACTCTAAGGTGCTATGAAGTCTTGATTCTTTTTGTATGAAAAATAATTAATGTGAATAAATTACTATAATGATGTGATGTAGTCAAATAATACATGAGATAAGACCTTCATATTCTTTTGAATCTAATAACGTAGCTAAATAGAAGAAAAATCTTCGGGGCAAAGCTATATTATTAGCTTGTTATTTATAAAGTAGAACTCTTTATGAGTTGTGCAAAGGTTATCTCCTTAACCTGAAATTTTCGAAAATGTGGGGGACCATGGTGTCCAGAGTTATATAGCCTGATCCTAAGTAAGAAAAAAGTGAAATATTTTTATTAATGTTATAATAAAGCATTACAAATTTGAGATTTTTTGTGGCAAAAAAATTGTATTGGAAGATCAAAATATATATTATATTTTTGGCTTTGAAAAGTTATGCTGCTTCGGATCACTTAGTCATTTGGGTGAATAAATCGTTGAATTATGGCATGTTTCATACTGATTTGAGATATTTCTGTAGAAGTTAAAATTGCTTCTATATTTAGAAAATTTTACTTTGGTACTTGGCAATGGAAGATACAAAAAGAAAATTAATTCTTATATGTCGAAAGATGCTTCAAAAGGCACTTCCAAGGAAATCAAGTTTCATTTCAATTGAGATGATCTTATGCCTTATTTGAGAAATACTATGAGTTAGTATTCTATGTGTGGATTTTCCACTGTATTAGAAGGATACAGTGATGATATTGAATCTCTGATTTAGATGTGAAAAACTCACTAGTGATTGTGTGATAATCTTTTGATGGGGTGTTATGATATTGGAATTATTTAGCGATGAGGTTGATTAAGCAACCTCTTGGTGAGTTAAACCGACAATAATCATGTCGATGAATTGTGATTTCCAAGGCGCAATAACCATTGTAAGAAAATAAATCTTTCAATGGGAAGTGTAGACATATTTTTTAAGATCTAATGTCATAAAGCAATTCCTTAGAGATGAGAATTTTATATGCATACTATGTGTAGTCAAAAGAGGATTTGGCCGATCCTTTAACTTATAAGTGAAACATCGAGGGGTTGAGACTTTTGCCAATTAAGATGTATCAACAATGATGGTAACCCAACCTATGTGATTGGAGATCCCATGAAGTAGGTTCATATGGGTAATAACAAGTCATTAGTTGATCAAATATGCACTATCAAATTATGTCTCTTCCTATGGTGTGTGCGTGTATATAGTGCAAGACTGCAAGGAATGTGAGGTTGAGTTATTAAACTCTTAATCCAATAATCCATAGCCTATTGTGGGTGGTGTATTGTGCTGCAGAATACACTTGATGGATAGACCTATATGAGTGTGGAGTGGGGCCGCTCCTATGAAATTTGTGGCGAAATTTCTAGAGCACTCATGAAAACGAGGCGCACGCATGGCATATTAGCGCAAAACCGCGATAAACAACAAAGTGTGTGGGGGTATAATGTGATAGATAAGACACTAAACTTACAAAAGAATTCTTGGTTCATAGAAGTTTTAAACTTCACCAATTGTTCTGTAAGTTTAATTTTATTTTATCTAGGTCTGGTTCATAGTCCAAGAGACACCAGATTCGACGCATTATGCTCATTTGTGAAAACCCATCAAAATTTCTTATTTTTTTTTTTGTGATATTATTTTTGAGATATGTGGGGGATTGTTAGAAGATAATTCTTATATTCAAAAATAAAATATAACATATTCACTGTCATTTACTCCCCATGATTAATAGTCATTATTATAATATTATAACTAACTTTTTATTAGCCTTAATGACTTTAATTTGTAACAGCCATTTCAATAGCCTTTGAATGACATTTAATAATTTTTAAAACGTTGCTTACAATCTGAAGTTAAAATCTTTGGATTATATATATTTATTTTCCTATGTGTTACTTTGAGTAGTAGAGTGAACAAAGTTAAAACTTTCCATCTCTTTTCTTTTGTGCTGGGTTTTCTATTATTCAATCTTTGTTGTTTCTGCTCCTAGTTTATACTAGAAGAGCTTGTTGAATCATGGGGGATACGCCTAATTTTATTCATTACGATGTAGGCGAAATATTCTTAAGGACAATGTCTTTGACACGCCTCAAGCTAAACCTTCTATTCTCCATAATCATCAAATATTTTTCCAACAAATAGAACAATCAAACCAAACGCGATAGAACAAGTAAGCCTAGCATTGAATTGAACACTAAAACCGGCTCCGATCGAGCCCTAGATACGGGCTCGCTTGTAATTAAAGAAAAGAGGAACTGAAGAACACTTTGAACAACAGCTAGAACACAAAAATAAACTTTATTGCTTTGATATGCGTGCCAACTGTAGTTTAAAAC